CAGCCAGGATTCGTTATTGTCGGCCACAATCTTAACATTAAATACGTCGATGATACATTGCTGATAGTAGACACAGAAAAGAAACTCTAGGAATTCACTGCTGAATTGGTTGATCATCATCTCATCGCAGGGCCTTTTCTCAATCAAGCTATACGACTTTCATTTCTCCAGATCAACTGCAGATGTGTTAAGAATAATTGCAGAAAGAGTCCATCATGCACTAGATAAAAACGATGAAGTTCGTGCTGAAGCATTGGGTATCTCGAAAGCCTTTGACATGGTCAGCATCCGTGTCTTCTCCACAAGCTTTCCGGGGACGATTGTGAGCTGATCTAATCGTTTCTATCAAATCGTGATATGAAAGTAGTCCTGAACGGCCACTCGTCTACATCCTTGGTCTTACGCTGTTTTTAATCTTAATTAACGACCTTCTCGATGACATCAACTTTTAAATTGTCATCTATGATCACGACCTAACATTTATTTCTGCTTCCACAAGAAAGGCTGATCAGACAAGGTCAAAATGGCAGCCGATGTAGAAAACGACCCCAAGACCGCCGTTAACTGTGACAAAAGATGGATTGTCAATTTTAACGCCACCGAAACTAAACTTCTCTACAAGAAGGTTGTAAATGGAAACGAGAAGAAAGGGCGAATCATCGAGTGTAAGAACACAGGCAGAATGTACGGTTGCCAACACAATGAAGGACCCAACATGTGAGTCGGAGATACCAAAATCAAGAAACTACAGAAGTTTAAATGTCTAGGAAGGTTTCCTTTTTTTTTTCTTCTTTTTTTTTAACAGAGGATGGAAAATACACCAACAAAATGTGGAAACCGAAAAATATCTCCCAAAAGTAAACTGTGAAGAAACAAAAAAATAAAAATCGTTAAAAACAAAGCCTACTCCACTTTTACGCAGTATAAATCCTGAAGTATATCCTCACAGAAGAAGACAAAATATAAAGCAACAGAAATCTCGTACAGAAGGATGCTGAGGATACCGTGATCAGAACATGTGAGCAAGGACGAAATTTTAAAGAAAATGGAAACAAAAATGACCTTTGAAATTTCTTTTTTTTTTTATTAAAGTTCACCCAATACAAGGCTCAAGAGCTACTCAAAGTAAAAGCTTACTGTGTGGACTGATATGAGCGTAGGAAAGATCAAGTATTATGAGTATAGATTTGGAGCCGAGTTTAGAAGAAGCCAAAAACCCATTCCTAAACATAAACCTTGAGATAAACATCTACTCCTGTTCAAAAGACTTGAGACGAGTGTGAAGCGGACGATAATTGAACCTATCTAGTGAGACACATAATGAGGAAATAGGGCTTAGAAAATGTGATTGATTGATTCGTTTTTTACGGCTTATCAACCCTTTGCCAGTTATTTAAAGCCAGAAAATATTTTTAATATGGAGAATTTATTTTTGAAATAAGAATGGCTTAGTAATACATGCTCTTAATAATTAATCTCTTACTGGGAGGAAAGGTTATGGATTCATATCTTTGCGAAGCGTATTTGCGCGTAACTGAATCTAATAAACCCAAAGGGAATTAAAACTCGGTTTGCTAATTAACAATTTACATTACACTACACCCGCTTCCAAGTTTACAGCATATGGTATTCCCAGTCAACTATCTAGGTATTGACCATGCTCGACGTTGCTTAACTTCAGTGATTAGAATATATGACACTCGGGAGACAGAGGGAAGCAATGCGTAATCTACCCAACGAGCTTGTGTAAACCGTTGGAAGAACAAAGATTTGGAGTGAAAACAAAAAGACAATATTTACTAAGAGCTACAAAGACATGTAGTTGTGGAGTGTCAGGATCGCCCACGTCTTGTAGTGACACGTGACATAGAAGAAGAAGAAGAAGAAGAAGAAGAAGAAGAAGAAGAAGAAGAAGAAGAAGAAGGAGAAAGAAAGAAAGATAGGAGAAAAAGAAAGAAGATGAAAAATAAAAAAGAAGGAAAAGAAAGAAAGAAGAAGCAAATTATTTAAAGAAACTGACGTTTTGAATGTAAACAGAAGAAGAAGAAAGAAAGAAAGAAAGAAAGAAAGAAAGAAAGAAAGAAAAAGAAAGAAGAGGAAAAATAAAAAAGAAGAAAAAGAAAGAAAGAAAAAGAAAGAAAGAAAGAAAGATAGGAGAAAAGAAAGAAGAGGGAAAATAAAAAAGAAGGAAAAGAAAGAAAGAAGAAGCAAATTATTTAAAGAAGCTGACATTTCGAATGTAAATAGAAGAAGAAAGAAAGAAAGAAAGAAAAAGAAAGAAGAAAGAAAGAAAGAAAGAATGAAAGAAAAAGAAGAAAAAGAAAGAAGAGGAAAAATAAAAAAGAAGAAAAAGAAAGAAAGAAGCAAATTATTTAATGAAGCTGACATGACGAATGTAAACATAGAGAAATGAAGCAGAATTTTAACAACTGTGTCTAAATGCATGAAAGCAAAAACGTCTATGAACGTTAAATAAACATGATTGATGTCAAGAAAGCTATATTGGATGAACCTGGTGGCTGTGCTACAAATTGGTCCTTCAAAGAAATATTCAACAAGTAGGACTTGCAGATGTTATTTTTTTTAATCATTAAGGCAATAAAGCTACTAAGACGGGAACGGTTAATGAGTGCGAAAGAATAAGCAAAAAAGAAAACCATAATTAAGTAGACGGAACACTAAAAGAACAAATTTTATGTCACCCTAAATTATGTGAATTTCAACGTATCTTACTCATTGGTATTTTTCTTATTTTATGTAGATTTCTCCCTATGCAGTAAACACAAGTTCATTTTTTCCCTCTCTGACTGTATCTTATGCTGCATAACATTTTTTATCATGAAGTCCCTGCTTGAGATCAAGGCAATAAAGCAACTAAGACGCAAGAAGTTATTGAGAGTATGGGAATATGGAAAAAGAAAACATTATCAAGCTGAGAGAGCAATAAAAGAACAGGAAATGAGAAGACAAGTTAACGATTGACATTGCATTTAAATTTTTCAAGAGCAAACTTGACTGGGAAGCAAGAAGCCGGAAGAGAGTTCCACAAGCGAGAAGTGTGAGAGAAAAAAGTGTTGGTAGAAAAATTACATCTTCATCTACTGATTCCAACTGTAAAATGATAAGACCGTGACTATTCGAGACCTTACTGCCAATCGAGTACTACACTTCATCGAAGTACTAAAGAGGAGAGAATATTGGAACAATTACCATGAAAATGACGTATTGCTCTTACCATATCTCTTATTGCCTCATTCCTGATCTTGTCTCGCCTGGTCTTGTTCACTGCTTTCCTCAGGCATTTCATCTCACAAGTGATCAGTTTCCCCTTAAGGGTTTTTGCTAGGGGCCATGTCTGGAACTGGTATGTCAGCGTTGGTAGGAAAATGGCGTTGATGAGCAATACCAATCATACAACACATCAATCGACAGAGGATCAAGTCGTTCGGACACACGTATGCCTATCTATCAACCAGCCCTACGAGCATACACCCTCAGGTACTCTGCTGGAGAGCGAGAGGCAGACCAAGAAGACACTGGAGTGACTCAGTGGCAGACACGCTCAGAACCCATGAGATATCTTTCCTCCAGGCAACTCGCCTTACTTGCCGCTGACAGACGACTGGGTACCACAGCGACGGCTAACAGCACAAGAGGAAGGAAAAACGAAACCAAATTAAACTAAACCATGAAAATATATAGAGAAAAGGCCCAGGGAAGCTACATTATGATGGTTGGATATTGATTGAGGCTGAGATGATAGGTCAGGACATTAGACATACTTCTTTGAATTTTATCAAGTATTTCTCAATACACAGCAGTGTTGGGGTCATGGTTTTGGTTTAAAATTTTAAACTTTAAATCCTTCGTTCGTATCATCCATAGAAGTAACTGGCTTAGACATTTTTGAGTGAAACATGTTAGAAACCAAAAAACTGTAGACTAATGAATACTGAAAATGCCAATTCACAATATGCAAAGTTACATATTGCCCACCTTGCCCAAAATGTTTTAGAGACGCCTATCATTCTGTTCATACCAACCACCCGGTTATTTGAACAAGAGTAGAGGTTTACACTTTGTTTCTTGTTTAGGGTCGGGTTTTGAGTTCCTTCTGAAGTCTATTTCATCTCAATACTTCTAATGTCTCTGTTTAAACTCTGAAATTCTACTTACTACTAATTTTTTTTTTTCATTTTATTTTCTCTTGATAAGTGTAGATAGGTTCGCCTTACGTCCGGTTCAAACTCCTCTCCGATCTTTTGAACAAGAGTAGAGCTATATCCTTTGTTTCATATTTAAGATTTCTTTGTGGTTTCTTCGAAAGTCGTCTTATTTTCTTTCACTCCCATTAACCCCATAGGTCTTAATAGTATTATCGCTTTGCTTTGGGTAAATTGATTAATAAAAAATATAGATTATATGTTTGGTTCTCATCTTCATCAAGAAATGATCTAAGAGAAACATTTGGCGCATCATTAAAAGAGATATCAGCGAGAATGAATATAATACTGTTATGATGTTAATTTGGGGTTAATAAAGACAACCGCCAAATAAAATGTAACAATAAAATGGGGTTTATTCGGTTGGTAAGTTGGTACAGATATCGTCTGAGTAGTCTATAACTAACTCAGCCCAGAACTTCTCCGACACTGTCTTTTTACATGCCACTATTTTACGTCCTTGTTTGTAGACGAGTTCATCTTCAAGAGGGGTGGTAGGTTCCCACACAACAAATACTAAAGTGATAAAATACACTGGAAAATGATTAAGTCATATTAAATTCGAAACAATGACAAATAACAAAATCTATGATTGAAAGATTAATGAATTCTGTAAAACATCAAGGAGACCATGTAGACAGCTAAAGAGAAAATAGTAACTTTGTTCATATGGAGTGGATATTGTGATAATCAAACATCGTTCGGACTTAATCAGTCTGTAGGATAAATCCTGACACGCCTCAAACAATTTATGAGGAATAGTTTATTTTTTAAATA